AGGTCACCCACCGTCATCAGGGAGGTCACCCACCGTCATCAGGGAGGTCACCCACCGTCATCAGGGAGGTCACCCACCGTCATCACTCAGGTCACCCACCGTCATCAGGGAGGTCACCCACCGTCATCAGGGAGGTCACCCACCGTCATCAGGGAGCTCTGCAGACGTTGCCCCCAGTCTGCCCCCGGGAAGACACCCAGTGAAGGACGGTTGACGAAGGCTCTCTGCGCAGATCAGTTGTTTATCAATTTAATGTTATATTATAAACATGATTATTCGTCTAAAATGTCCAAATACTTTCTTTTGAATTTGATAAGCCCTTCAAATCTACTACCAGTAATTAGTTAAATTTTTTAAAATGCCTAATAAATAATATTTATTGGATTTAATTATATTTGATTATTTTAAGGGGATCGGCTACCCCTACGGGAAACTTCTACAGTTATCATCCGATTGTCATGAAACTTCACATACATACGTAAAATGTAAAAAGAAAAACATTTTGCCCATATGAATTTCTCGAAAACGGCTAAAAAGGGGTACTTTAGAAAATCTATCTCCTCCCACAAATATCATTCTACAACATCGAGACACATATCAAAGGAGATCTGCGTGAAGGCGTCCAGCAGCACGTTGCCGTCCGCGTCTACTTGGTAGTTGCCTACACTTTTGTCGTAGTCTACGAATACCTGCACCCCATGGCACGGCTGCACACGAATATAAGTCACAACATTATGATAAATCATACGGAACTATAAGCAAAGCAGTACATTGATAATGGGATTCCAAATTGTATGTAGACTAAGGTGTGATTTTCCCGCTTATATTATAAACCTTGTCGAAAAAAAATCAATAGACAACAGTTCGGAAAATTTTCAAGTAGTTGTCACACTTTTTTTTACGCGGGAACGATAAGGATTTTAAGTAATACGAAAATACTGCGTCAAGTACATATAAAGTCACGTACAGGTAAAGTCAAGTGCAGGTTAAGTTTAGTACCTACACGTAAAGTCAAGTACAGGTAAAGTCAAGTGCAGGTAAAGTTAAGTACACGTAAAGTCAAGTACACGTAAAGCTAAGTACTACACGTAAAGTCAAGTACATGCAAAGTTAAGTACACGTAAAGTCAAGTACACGTAAAGTTAAGTACATGCAAAGTCACGTACAAGTAAAGTCAAGTACATGCAAAGTTAAGTACACGTAAAGTTAAGTACATGCAAAGTCACGTACAAGTAAAGTCAAGTACATGCAGAGTTAAGTACACGTAAAGTTAAGTACACGCAAAGTCAAGTACTGCTGCAGCTGCTGCAGGTACTGACCGTTATCCTGCTGCAGCTGCTGCAGGTACTGACCGTTATCCTGCTGCAGCTGCTGCAGGTACTGACCGTTATCCTGCTCAGCTGCTCTAGGTACTGACCGTTATCCTGCTGCAGCTGCTGCAGGTACTGACCGTTATCCTGCTCAGCTGCTCTAGGTACTGACCGTTATCCTGCTGCAGCTGCTGCAGGTACTGACCGTTATCCTNAGGAGTCGTGCAAAATACAAATAAAGTGTTCGTAGTCTACGAATACTTGCACCGTCTGGCACGGCTGCACACGAATATTAGTGAGAACTGCGTGAGGAGTCGTGCAAAATACAAATAAAGTGTTCGTAGTCTACGAATACTTGCACCGTCTGGCACGGCTGCACACGAATATAAGTCACAACTTCGTCAGAAGTCGTGCATAATATGGATAACGCATTCGTAACACCTGCACCCCATGGCACGGCTGCACACGAAAATAGGAAGTCAGAACTTCGTGATAAATCATACGGGACTATAGGTAAAGCAGTACATTGATAATGAGATTGTACATTAGATGTAGAAGAAGGCGGGTTTTTTCCGCTTATATTATAAACCTTGTCGGAGAAAATCAATAAAGAAGAGTTCAAAAAATTTTAAAATTGATAAGTGTCACTCAAATTTATTTTATCGTGGGATGGATAAAGCGTAGATAATTCTGACTATTTTATACAATAATATTGGAAATAGTTGTGTTGTATAGAAGGGACTGAGCTAGGTTAAGCAATTATAGACAGGATGGAACGACAACAAATTAGGGGTAGAAAACCGCGTGACAGAGCTGAGAAAACCGTGTGCTGAGCACCTGGTACGTCTGCAGGGCACCTGGTACGTCTGCAGGGCACCTGGTACGTCTGCAGGGCACCTGGTACGTCTGCAGGGCACCTGGTACTGCAGGTACTGACCGTTATCCTGCTCAGCTGCTGCAGGTAGGCCCGGGAGTTGGGGCCCGGGATGTCCGTCCTCACGACGGGCTGCGCGGGCTCCCCGGGCACCAGGGGCGCCGCTGCCGCTGCCGGGGCGCTGCTGCTGCTCAAGGGCGCCGCCCCTGGCAGGGTTAGTGACCAATTATGAATTATTATTATTATTTAGAATAATAATAAATTTCTAATTAATTATTATTATTAATTAGAACAATAATGAAATTCTAATAAATTATTATTATTATTTAGAATAATAATAAATTTCTAATTAATTATTATTATTAATTAGAACAATAATGAAATTCTAATAAATTATTATTATTATTCAGAATAACAATAAGGAAAAAAATAAGTTTGCATTCAGTACCGAATAATTTGCATTGAAATAATGAATATTATTATTGAATAAATTAATCTATAATTTGAATAAATAATTTAACTCTTATTTTTTTCTTTGTCATGAATGTATAACATCCCCCCGATTTAGATTCTATGATGATCATTAATCTAGACCAACAGTTGATTGCTTGCACAATAGTTGTTAGTGAAGAGTTTGAACTTTTATGCTAAAAACGCTTGTGATATTTAGATTAATTTTCAGTTGCATCCAAAAACGTGTTTCATGAGTAAATTAATAAGTGATTTAGTAATCCATCAAAAATAGTAAGGTTCCTCGAGTTATTTAATAAGTGGTTTAATAATCCATCCAGAAGAGCAAGTTTTATAAGTTATTTAATAAGTGGTTTAATAATCCATCCAAAGCAGTAAGTTTTATAAGTAATTTATCAAATACACTCGAGGAAGCTTGCAGCAGCTGACCATAAACGAGTGCGTTTGTTCAAACCTATTTTTAGCTTTCAAATAAATACAAGCATGTTAGTATAGATATTAATATGGATGAGACTAATCAAGTTGATAGCACTACCATTTAAATGGATAAAGCGAGGTACAGACATTTACATACTCGAACATTTAAACACAGCTGGCATAATTGCTGGGTAATTAAGAAGTCAAATGAGAAAAAGCGTCGATGACTCGATTAAAATGAAGGGTAATAGAAAATTGTTGAAGCTCAAATTCCGTTATCGCGTCAATAACGATTGAAGATCAACGTTATCTAAACAATCTTTAAATCAATCTAAACATTACGAACACAACGCAACAATTAAAACAACCTTTCATTAAGTGCCGCGAAGACAACATAGCCCTTTTAACTGATTTTATTTAAAACAAAAGATTACAAATACAATCATATACCGGTAAATTTTCTGCACTAGTTGTAAAAAAAGTCCTTACATTTATTTAATAATTGACCAGCAAGTAAAAAGAGGCATCAGTGGCGGCAGATTGGATAATGCGATGAATCATTTGCTGAGAAAGCAAATGCATCGCAGAAGAGCGATGCTAAAAATACATTATACCTGAAGCCATATTATGCAAATTAACGTCCCATATTTTTTCTTATTATAACCGCCCCGATGGAAAAAATCTACCGTACACGACATAAGTTGCAACTCAATAGACACTAGCTTAACTTGCCGCTCGTTACTAAAACCGCATTGTACATCATAGAAGCATGATTTGTAAGGTTCTATTAGCACATTATTACTACTAAGTTCTTTCGATCTCGGTATAGGGAGTTGCAGTGCAGTTTTGTTTATATAATAGATCGTTTATATTTGAGGCCGATGATGCAAGTGCTGTGGCGTCTTGAGTGACATTTACGTTAGAAAAATTGTTGTGTTGACAGTCTTGTGTTTCAAAACATCATGTGTTACATTGAGAACCTTATATGTATTGTATCTCTTCCACTGAATGAGGTGGCGAACTACGTGTACCGTGCCGATAACGATAGCACTTGAGTCGCCGGCCTTCAATAGGAACGATCTAGTCTATAAACAAAACTGAATGATGTCTCTGTATCGCGATTTAAACAGCTTAGAAGTATCAAAATATAGCGATTATGTGTTATTCTAACCCTACAGATCGAAGTTCTAACAGTTATTCTATGGTTTTCAGTAACAAGCGACGAGTAATTAAGTGCGACATGCGTGTCACTGCATGTCGGTACATACAGTATATTCGGTGTCCAATTAAGCATAATTAAACATTGCTTCCATGCTGCCACGTGTCGCTTTCTGGGAGTGTTTCAGATACAATTTGTGATCCCATAACAGAGATTTTCCATACCACATACCAACTGCTGCCTTCGTCCAAATTCTCCGTCGGGTGAACCAGCAACTCTGTTCTCAATGCCGGTGTGTTTTTACCTTTTCTATAAGCAAAATTTATATTAAAGCCCAAGAATTTCTTAAATTGCGCAATACATATTTTGAAAAATTTATTTATTCGAAAATTTATATTGCCTTTTTAATATTAAACACTAATTTAAAAAGTTTGGAGAATAAAAGTTTATATAATAATCATGTCTGTAAATGGTGTCTCAAAAAGTAATAATAACATTCTTTCCTGATACTATGGTACCATTAATCAAAACAAAAATACGCGTTTTCCTAGTACGGTTACTCGAACTAAAAGAATTCACACAATATCGCCATAAAATTTTCCATAAATTGAAGAAATTCCCTCGAGCCGCCGCGCAATTCGCATCAGAAGAGAGAGGCTGAATTCTTCTCGAGTTCTATGCACACTCGATGGCTGAAGGGCTTCCAAGGGTCATCCAAAGCAGGCTCGGAACTCCTGAATTTCCTCAATAAAAACACTGGCAAAATTTTGGCAAGCCTACCGAATAATGAAGCTAAAAACTCTAATGGGTATGACAGCGCACGCTAAAGTATGTGGTCCAAAAATATTTAATACACAAAATTTCCTTTGGCTTTTATTATTAAACTTTGTTCAAAAATATTTAATAGGCCTTTAAAAATTTTCTTTTGCTTTCATTATTAAAGTTAAATAGTTTGTGGAACATATTCCTAGACAGGAAAAAGTTGTTCAATAATGCAAATTTTGTTGAAGATCAGAAAGTAAGTCGTATTTCCTCATTTTTTTCACTATATCAGAAATTAAACTTTTTGTTGAATTTGAAAATTCGGATACAAGATTTTCAAGAGACACTTTTCTCGATGATTACGAGGTTTTGACTGAACATAATTCATTATCAATTCGCATGTTGATGTAGCATAGTGGTTCCCAAAGTGGGCGGGACCGCCCCCCTGGGGGCGGTGGAAAGAACTAGGAAGGCGGTGAGGAAGAAGGGGCGGTAGGGGGGCGGCAGTCGGAAGTCAAAGTCAGAAGTTAAAACGTTTGTTTGATGATTTGTACACAACACGTGAAGCACACGACTCAGCGATGGGTTTTTCCACCCCGATATTGATTTTTTCATCTCTCCTGGGTTTCTAGTTTAAAATTTTGAAAATTTTCAAAATCTGGGTTTTTTGTGCATTTGTGGGGGGGAGGGAATATTATGTGAATATTATGTGTCTGATGGGGGGCGCTAAGAATTCACTTGTGAGCCAGGGGGGCGCCTGCCTGCAAAAGTTTGGGAACCACTGATGTAGCTTGTCCACTGAGCATACTCGCTAATCCTCAAGATTAATCCGAAAATTATTAATCCTAATCTTAAAAATACAATTTTAGTTGAGAACCACAAAATCCTTCTCTAATCTCTATTCGCNGGAGGTACACTGGTGGCAGGGAGGTACACTGGTGGCAGGGAGGTACAGGGATGTACACTGGTGGCAGGGAGGTACGGGGAGGTACACTGATGGCAGGGAGGTACAGGGAGGGGCAGAGGTAAGTGCAGGATACTGACGCGTCGTGTCAAGGCCGGGGACAGAGCAATGGCCTTGATGCGCACAGAGCAACTGCGCAGAGCTGTGCTGCAACCCACCATGTCTGGTGCTAACCGGTTCATGTACAGATATTTAACCGGTTCATGTGTACAGAGCTCAGGTTATTGAGAAGATCAAGGGAAGGATGAGAGAGGCCTCCCACCGAACCAAGCTCGTTGTAGGACTCAAAGCTGCTGCGTCAAGTCACATATTTTATAATATTTCAATACAATAACTGCGTGCCTTTAGAGCTACACCAAACTTAGCCTCACACGATTAAAGCTGTTACACTTGGTATATAACATTTGATAGTAGCAACTCATTATCGAACACAATACCTGCACAGTATCTACTGCACAATATCTACTGCACAATATCTACTGCACGGTACCTACTCCACTACTGCACAGCATCTACTGCACAGTATCTACTGCACAGTGTAGTACAGTATATACAGTTGACTAGAAGCCTAGGAGGCAACTGTGATTGTTTATGAAATAGGCTTTGGTGAACGCATTTTTTCCTACATTTATGCGGATAATTTATTCCTTGGCAATGTAGGCAACCTTTTTATGTTCATAGTGCAGGCCATAATAGCGATAGGGAACTTATATATTAGTACAAATCTTAGGGCCTGCCTGACATTGTTTCCTGCACTTAATTAAGTTCGCTAACCTATAATAGCTAGTGCACGTCCAACAAGTCAAGGGTTACTCCACTTCTGCAAAGATGAAAATGTTTAGAAACAAGCATACAGGTACTCTATAGTAACATTAAACCTTAACGCTAATGGAAAGATATGACTGGCGGAAAGATTCAAATGGTGAAAAAATTTAGATGTGGGAAAGATTTAACTGGTACATAGATTTAAATGGGGAAAAGATTTAACTGTGGAAAGATTGCTTCAAACAGGCTGAAAGATTTAACTGCGGAAAGATTCAACTGTGGAAAGATTTAACTGGCGGAAAATTTTGACTTGATACCGAAGAAACGATCATAGCCGAAGCTCATAATTTCGACTTCGAAGTGCGCAGAAATTTTGCGTTAACGCGATGGTCGAGTTAAATAGTTTATCTCTACCGGTGCAACAACGAACGGGATATTCTTCTTACGTGCCAATTGAAATATGTGAAAATTAACATCGACTTGGAATGACGAAATTTTGCTTAGTGGCAATAATTAAATTTGATCGCTTCATAAATCATTGTAGCAACTTAAGACTAGTCTGCGTGAAGTTCAGTTGGATGAATGGAATAGCCGGACCTCTCGGACCGGCCGAACCCGCGTTCGGTCTCCAAAGTTCAGTGAGCCAGGAATATCTCCCAAACTAATGAACGCAGCTCGATGAAACTTTCCAACTTGTAGGACCTCACGGTGATGTTTAGGCGTGATGATTCTATTCGATTTAGCTTTCGTTTCCACGTTATCATGTCATATGGTCCAAAATAGCAGTGAGCCTAATACCTTCTTCTATCCTATTGTCCAGATTTAAATGAAACTTACAGCATAACTTGGAAACGAAGGCGAAATCGAGAAAATAATCACTGCCTAAACATCACCATTAGGTCATAATAAATGCACGTGCAAAGTTATATAGAGCTGTGTTAATTAGTTTGGAAGATAATACATATTCACTGTAAATTTGACAGGCAGCCTCAGAAATGCTGAATGACGCCTCATTTGAAAATTTTTGTACCACCTAAACATCTGAGTAATGCAACCGACCGTAGTCAACACGATTATAGGCAATACACTTTAAAAAAGTTTAATTATATTGAATATCTCAACGCTGCACGACGCAACATTTCCGATAATCGGGCTTATGACAAGAGATATTTGTAAGTGCAACTGCACACCATATAACATAACATAACATAGTGATGTCGGCTCTGAAGTGTAGGCCTGATGTGGCCTGTCGCCGATTCTTTTCCTTTTCGTGCCTTGTTCATAGATCTAAACTCGTGTCATTTGACCGGATCTTTTCATGACTGGCGATAGTTTGAAGAAGCTACTAGACTTCCACCGGGTTCGATAAGGAGCTAGGCAAGTTTCATTACAACCCTCTCTTTGTATTTTCTTTGCCGTAACGCTTCCAAAAAAGAGAACCTTATTCACGTGCCAAATCAAATGCCACTCGGCAGACCACCTGACAAACGATAAGTAATGAATACCGGTATCTTGAACCTGAACCTGAACGTAACATAAAATTGGTGGAGTAAATCACTCCGATTCACCCAACTTTAAAAGATATGAGACGATAGGAAACGTCTCTCTCTCCATAAAATATTCTTTAAAATCCCTATTTAATCATACCGGTGCAACAACGAACGCGTTATTCTTCTTACGTGTCAATTGAAATATGTGAAAATGAACAGCGCGACTTGGAATGACGAAATTTTGCTTGGTGGCTATAATTTAATTAGATCGCTTCATAAATCATTGTAGCAACTTAAGACTAGTCTGCATTAAGTTCAGCTGGATGAATGGGATAGCAGGACCTCTCGGACACTTATCCGGCCGGACCGGGGTTCGGTCTCCAAAGTTCAGTGAGCAAAGAACATCTCCCAAACTAATGAACGCAGCTCGATGAAACTTAGCAACTTGTAGGACCTCACGGTGATGTTCAGGTCGTGATGATTCTATTCGATATATCTTTCGTTTCCGCGTTATGCTGTCGCACGATCCTATACTTCTATCCTATGGTACAAATTTAAATGAAATTTACAGCATGACTTGGAAACGAAGGCGAAATCGAGAAAATGATCACGACCTAAACATCACCATTAGGTCATAATAAATGCACGTGCAAAGTTATATAAAGCTGTGCTAATTAGTTTGGAAGATATTACATATTCACTGCAAATTTGACAATCAGCCTCAGAAATGCAAAATGATGCCTCAATTGAAAAATTTTGGACGACCTAAACCTAAACATCAGAGTAATGCAACCGACCGTAGTCAACAATGACTCAACACGATTATAGGCAATACACTTTAAAAAAGTTTAATTATAAGGATTATCTCAACGCTGCACGACACAACATCTCTGACAATCAGGCTCATGACAAGAGATATTTGTAAGTGTGACTGCATACCATATAGTCCGAATTACCTCTAACCTCTCTACTATTACCTCTAATCTCTCTACTATTACCTCGAATCTCTCTACTATTCCTACACTAGCGTCTAGTACGGTATTACCTATAGCACAATATGGGGTAAGACAAGAACAACTGTACAAATGTTATATTCTCCTTCCTGTAAGTTCCTGGCGATTGACCAAGACTGCAGAATTACATCAAGCAACAATCGGGAAAAGCACGCAAAACTTTTGAGAAAAAATTAAACGAAATGTGAAATACAAACCTGCAGCGAGCGCACGCTGACCTACACGAGCAAGGTTCTGCATAGATAAAGTAAGCATAACGCTTCAAACTTTGGAATATCTTGGATGTGAACACCTGTTTCACGCAGCGCCGATCGCACCTCACGACTTGCTGCTTCGACCGCCACTTCTGCACTGAACTGAGCGCCCAAGTCCAGGGTTGCCAGATGGAGCCGAGTGAAAAAGGCCAATTTAGCTCACAAAAAAGGCCACAAAAGGCCTCATTTGAAATTAATAAGAAATTCTTAAATTAAAGGTAGTTCTAACCATTCGCAGGGCATGAATAAAATTGAAGGACCAAATTATCAGAAAAAAAAACGGGAATTACACTTTTCATAAATAAGGCCCAAAACGGATAAAAAGGTCAATTTAATTTTTGTCAGGCCAATGCCTTTAAAAAAGGCCACATCTGCGAAATTTGGCCTGAAAAAGGCCCATCTGGCAACACTGCGCCCAACCCGATGCCACAGCCACGCCACCACTACACCCTGTTTCTCATCTCACCATTTCGTTTCGGACAACAAAAACGAATATACATTTTTCATAGTTTTTCAAACCGGAAAGAATTTCATTTGAAAATTTTTAATAACATTAGTTTCAAATTTGATCAAAGAATGGCTTAGTGTTATACTTTTAATCCTTCACCTTCGTATCCCTAAACTTAATTAATTGATAGTTAGGCAATATTCGCGTGAGCGGTGAGTCCTCCGAGGAAAACATCAAAGAAGATCGTTCAGGCATTGCGCTGTTGCAGATAGTTTCGTTCACTGCAATGGAGCAGTAGGAGAGCTCGGTGCCACAATGGAAACCCTTCAAATTCTTTTTTTTTTATGGCGACAAAACGTGACACGCATGCAAACCGCAATTCTAACTTTTTATAATCATTCATTTCAGTAGTAGGCGTTTTTTTGTTTGTTTGAGAGCGCCCATTAGTGAAATAAATTCTATTATTAGTTAAATAAATTTTTTTTGATTGAATTTTCATCTATATACAGTGGCGTAGAGCATGAGATAGAATAATTTACATCATTGTTCAATAATTGTGCTGCTTTCAATTCAATTCGTCTGCGTTTTCACTTCAAATACTAATTTGTCCACACAACCGATAGATACGCCTTTGGTTACGCATAAAAACTCTCCAAATAGTCTGATGCTGTATATTAAAATATATAACTCGTCTTTATGAATAGTCTTTCTGTATATTCTAATTGAACAGAATTGTTGGAAATAGTCGACTATTTTTAATATGATCCATGTAAGGTATAACTGCGCATGCCATTTTTCGAGAAGCTTGTTTCTGAGCAAATGAACATGCGAATCTTTATAAGTCATTGTGTTGCAGAAAGCTTGGGGTAAAGCTTAACGATAGTACGATTTTCCCAGTGAAGGGATTCATTAATATCCATTGTGATCCAGTGAAATAATTGTATACCTACAACTATCCAAAAAAAACACTTGTTACATGGGCCACTTATTAAGTCACAGAAACCTAACCTACATTAAGTATTAAGTGGCAAGTGTAGGTTAGTGGTCTAACCTAACCTACACGACAGCTTGGTAGTACCAAACTAAGACCAGCAGTCAGTTACTGCCGGCATATGGAACACTGAACACTAAAGTTCGTTGTAAGCACCAGTGGAGATGACATAAAACTTGAAGTTACTCGCAGTATCTCAACAACATGTGGAGATAACATAAAAATCGGAGACTTACTCGCACTAACTCAACTTGATTTTAGTTACGGTATTGGGAGAACGTGTTTTTTCTTATCGAGGTATTTGGGGCAAAGGTACGGTACGCCACTACGGAGAGTTACTTACGGATTACTTGACGTGCAGAGCCATGGGCAGCGCTACTTCGAAATGTAGCGGGCGCTACCGCTACCGCTACATGCTCTAGGTGTAGCGGGCGCTACCGCTACCGCTACATGCTCTAATTTTCATACACGATTAGTACAATGGCGGAAATGGCTATTCGACCACCCAGTTTTCTCTAAATATTTTTTCTTGCACAAAAAATACGGAATTCTAATAACACAAGGTTAATCTACGCTTAAAAACGGTTCCGAAGATATACGAAAAAAATTTTTTCTCATGATATATGAGAAGAAATTATGGAAATTAGAAAAACCTAGGTGGAAATGGTTATAAGACCAAAGTATGTTTTTCCGTTTCTGGATCCCATACACTCGTTTTAATAGGCAATCACACCTCCTTTCGCCTTAATTACCTCAATGCATTTTCTCCTCATGCAATTTACCAAATAATCCAGAGTCTTTTGAGGAATTTTATGCCAGGAACGAAGGACAGCCGTGCTCAGGTCACACACAGATAGGAAATGGCGCTCATTTTGGTAAACATCCCTTGCCATGATGCCCCATAGGCAGAGGTGGGCAGTAGCACGCTACATTTTCAGTAGCGGTAGCGGCGCTACATTTAAGCAATTGTAGCGGTAGCGGTAGCGCCCGCTACATATTTGAGTAGCGATACGAGATTTTGCCGCTACAGCGCTACCGCTACATATATAGATAAAGCCTTTAGATTTTACATAATGGTATTAAATATTATTTAAAAACCAGCATGATACATACATAATATAAATTACAGAATAAAACTGTACGAAAGATTTCGGTGTAATGTTGTCAACCTCAGCCTGTTACTAGTGTCAACATGTTAGTTGTTACTTGTTAAGTTGTTACCA